CCATCAATACATGAGTGGATTAATAAAATGTGGTATACGTATACCATGGAGTACTATTCAGCTGTAAGAAACAATGGTGATCTAGCACCTCTTGTATTCTCCTGGATAGAGCTGGAATGCATTCTAGTAAGTGAAGTATCCCAAGAATGGAAAAATAAGCACCACTTGTACTTACCATCAAATTGGTTTTAACTGATGAACACCTAAGTGCACATAAAGGAATAACATTCATTGGGCATTGGGCAGATGGGAGGGGGGAGGAGGGGATGGGGATATACACACATAATGAGTGCGATGAACACCATCTGCGGGATGGCCATGCTTGAAGCTCTGACTCTGGGAGGAGTGGGGGCAAGAGCAATATACATAATCTAAACATTTGTACCCCCATAATATGCTGAAATAAAAAACATTTTCTGAATGTTTAACAACCTGCTCTTGCAAGCCAGCATGAGCTGGCTCCAGCTCACCACTGGGGTCAGGTTTTCCTACGTCAGGGAGATCTAGAACATTGCCAATTTGTACTGTGAATGTGGAATGAAACTAACAGCAGATCAAAGGAAATGAGATGTGAGCATCTATGTACCACCCCTGCAAAGACGGTCTGGGTAGCAAGTTTGCCCTCCATCCCCATCTCACATCATACCTCAGACACTGCAGCCGGCACTGGGGGCATTTCAGTGCTAGACCTAGAAACTCCACGGCTTCACGCTCCAATTTTGTGCATCATATTTCCAAGGATTTCAGATGCTGGTTCTCAATCAAAACACGGGTTAAATCTTCATTCAACATGGCACGATTCACACACTGCAAGCTGGAGAAGGCAGCAGTGTCTGATTAACTAGAGGCCCATCCACAGTCAGAGTTCTGTGGCCTCACAAACCAGCCTCCCGGAAGCCGCAGCAACTCACAGGCACGGCCACACTCTCAGGGAGTTCACAACTGAATTCAGGACACAGACGTTGAAGACTGACACAGATGGGTGATCACACAGGTCCTGTGATGGAGAGACAGTGAAGTCTGAATGAATGACGAACAGGATTGGAATGAGATTGGGTGGAGTCTGTGAAGTCCTCCCTAAAGCTAAGGGACTGTCATCCTGTATCTGGAGGATTTGGAGGTCTTTTCCCCGCACCTTTCATCAGGACCCTCCTAAAATCACACTCCTTTTCTAAAACCAGCGACACAGCTCTGCTCAGCACATCCAATGCCTGTGTTAACTGCTGGATCTCCTCTTCCACCTTCTGCTAAGTAAAAAAAAAGTTGTATTGAGGTGTAGTTGATATACAAAACCCTGCGCATGTTTAATGTACACGATCTGATGAGTTTAGACATATTCATATATCCCTGAAACCATCACCACAACTGAAGTGGCTAATTAGTTTTTCTTTTTTTTTTTGGAGGTTTTAAAAAGTTATTATAGGTACATAATATTTAGATATCTTTATAGGGTACATGCAACATTTTGATATAGTCACATGATGTGAATTAATCAAATCAGGGTAATTGGGGTATCCATCTCCTTAGGCATTTAACATTTCTTTGTGTTAGGAATATTCCAATTCTGCTCTTTTAGTTAGATTAAAGCCCACCTTAATTTATTGTTGATTATAGTCACTTTGTGACTATAAATATTGCTGATTCTATCTAACTATCTAACCATATTTCTGCACCCATTAACCATCCCCACCCCGCTACCCTTCCCTGCCTCTGGTAACAATCATTCTACTTTGTCTCTGTGAGACCAATTGTTTTTATTTATTTATTTATTTATTTATTTATTTATTT